CTACGTGCAGCTATTTATTAGACAGATGATGTGCCAACAAGGCAAACTTTTCAAAATGACTACAAACAAAATAAAATAATAATAATAATAAAAGCCCGAAAAAAGATATAAACTAAAGATAAAGCTTCATAATTGTGGCTGTGTGGCCAAGAAAAACCAAAGTTGTTGTTGCTGCTGCAGTTGCGCTGGCTGTGAGTCGACGACTAGAGTCTCTAGCCATATCTCGCATGTAAGTGTTAATGAAGTTAAGTGTTTCTGACGCGAACGGCCAACAAACAGCAACAACAACAACAATTAATGAGAAGTCGCATACCAAACAAAAACTAAAAAAAAAAATAATAAAACAACAAAAAACTTCAACGAGGGCGAAACGCACAAAAATGTTCGAGCCACATGATTAAGATCAACAATAGCAAAAAAAAGAAAAGAAAAACACAGGCAGAAGATGTATACATATATATATATCTATGTGTGTATGTCTCTCGCATAGGCCAAAGACCAGGCCAGCGCTTTTTATGTCTGGCAGTTAGCTCAAGGCAAACCAAACGCCAAGTCGTGCTGTCGAGCCCAAGCGAACTGCCAAAGTGAAACCGAAATCCAACTTAATTGAAAGCTCACAGATTTCCATGGAAAACGGCGACAGGTTAAGCTGAAAAACAAATACTCAAAGCAAATAGCACTTGACAAAGGCTAATTAGAAAAGGATAATCAGCACTGAATAGCCAGAGACAGGTTTAGGCAGTTAGAAGAATGATCGTATGCGTAGTCTTAAGAGGTATGAGACGAGAGACATACAAAAATATATAAGTATGAGGTTAGGCAGGCAGACGAGCTGGGTTCAATTCACTCAGCTGTGGATTCTTCCCAAGAATATTTATGCTTTATTTGCTCCTCTAAATGTTTCATTTCCATTTCATTTCATCGCATTTTAACTTGCAATTCGTTCAAGGTATAAAGAGCTTTACTATTTCAGCTTGAATAAAAAATAAACTAATAATAAAACTTATGTATATATAAATATTTATTTCCAATATATATTTATATATTGATTTATTTTATTTTCTATTT